CAAAGATTCTGTAAGGATGTTAATATGTTTTACGTAGCAGTCATTTATAAATTTATTTGTCGATCCTTTGCTTTTCCGCCTACATCGTATTTTTTTCAAATTCTTTAGACTGTACAGAGTACGAAGACATCTCATTTAACTCAAAAATGTTTATTCTGTACTGGGTTCGTAATGCTTCTCTTTTCCTCTTTTTTCCTCTTTACTCCAAGATCTCTTCTCTTTCCGAGCTAATTTTCCTCTTTTTCTGGGATTCTTCAGCAAAAATACCAGAATTCACGCTATTTTTAGACCTGGAAGTAATTTCAGATATATTTTTTTATCTATGCTGTCATATGAAATAAAATTCAATCACTCGTGGTTACAGAAAACAGTAGATGAAGTCCCTGTGAGACGATGATTCAACATTCTAAGGAATCAACGTTAGTATGTACATTATGTAAAACGGACGAATTAGATTGTGGGAACAAAGGACGGTAGTCGATAGTACAGCATGTGAAGAAAGATAAACACCGTGAAAAAATCAGAGAGTTGAAAGAAAATATCACATTCGTTTCTTCAACATCTTCGTCTCATACAGTCAAAACTTTATCAAAGTTAATCTACATTCACCATTTAAATTAGAATAACTCCCTTATGCTGTGTTTTTCTTAGTTTTTTTACTCGTGAAACACGGAAAGATATACTTTAAGTAGGATGAAATCTTTTCTTTGAGAGTCTTAAGCCACTTTGACGTGTACACAATATTGTCAGTACCGTTTTCTGGCCAGACAAATGCCTCCTCTTTTTTCTGAAAGGACCATTACGAAGCCAGACTCTGTAATTTGCAACCGAAAATATGTATTTTTTGTATATAGTTTAGTTTAAAATACATTTTCTGATATGCTCAGTTCGAAACAATATAGTGTGATAATGGAGAAAAATCGTGTTTTAAGGAAATCATGGCGTCGGCCATAATGTTTTCGACAGTGTACTATCTCAAACGTTTCAAGAGAAAACATGGATTTATTCTAAGTCAAACAGATCATTGAAAATTAGACAAAATTCTGCATCGTTTAAGCTTAGAATAAATATTTCAAACCATTTGTAAGCATAAAAATATGAGATACAAAGTGGTTGAAGGGTACAGAGGGTACAGCCATTCTTTGTCTATACACTAGTATAAACCTTTCCTGACAATCTGTAATACTTTTTCAGTCATACTGAAAAGAGACGGTAGTAGTTTTAATTGATTCGCTTTCTAATTGACTTCGCTTTTTTTTAATTCCCTCGCACAGATTCACAGTAGTCCATTTCCTTCTATCGATGGGAGAAAGCCGAGTGAATCCATTTTTATAGAATATATGAAGTTTTTACAAGAATTGATTTTAACAGTACCCTAGACACAAAAGGTGTTCTAGAGGGACAAAACTCCTTATCGACAATCTCAAAATAATAATGAGTATTTAAATCTGAGTTCTCACGGTATAAGTAGGTACAGTTCATTGCAGTTCGTCAAAAATTACGCTAATGACTATCGAAATATAAATCCTTTCAATAAGAATTTGTCTTGTTCACAAAACCTCAACATGAAGAAGCACATTATATAAGACTTATCAATGGAAATGGAATAAAATCCAAACTGTATATTCCAATTCCACCCTTCTTCCGCATTATAATATTTTCTGTTTCATTAGATTATTACAAAAAGCTTGGAGTACCTAAATTTTTTGTTGGATCGCTCAATCATCTCATTATCAGTCGAGAGTTCACTTACTTATAAATATTCGACGAATAAACATAATATTAAGACATATTCAATATCTGTATTAGAAGACATATATATATCAATTTCTCTTTTCGTTTTACTTCTTTGTATTAAACCGCGTATATTTATATATATATATTTCAAACAAACAGACAAAGACATGAGTTTTTAACTTTATGAATATTGTTTTGTTTCTGCCCGAGGATATTAGGTGGCATGTGTATGTGTGTGTTGTATATACAGCTTTGCGACAACCTGACTAGTATAAAGAAAACACTATTGAGTCGGAAATGATCAATTCATAATTTAACCGATGTTTTAAAATTAAAATTGACAGTATATTTCGAGTTATAATAATATGAAAGAGAGTGAGAAAAAGAAAGAAAAACGAACAACAGCAACAAGAATGATATCAAGAGCAAGAATTAAATGTTTTATTAGGAAGAACATATTCATTGTATGGCTATATGGTTTTATAAAAGAAAACAAATGAACAGTGAATGACAATTGTTCTGTTAGATGGTTAAGTATATAAGTAAAACTTGATACGGTGATCATACTCTCCCTTTCATGAGGCAAAAAAATCGATGTGAAAACTAAAAAAATGTGCGATAAGAGTAGACAGAATTGTACAAGTATAAATAATACAATTGATTATATCAGTCATCATCGCAATAACAGATTAAATTCCAGTCTTGAATCACATCTCACATTTGTCACTTGTAGATGTTGACAATAATTCACATTTCTCATAAGAGAATTTAGATAAATATTTCTGATCAGATTCTTCTAAGAGGTACATTGTTGCGTATTGGAACGATAATTGTCTGTTAGATCTGTAAACTTTGCCAATATAAATGTCAATTCACCACAAACTCGTATAAATAAAATGGCAGAACGATGCGAAAAAATTTGGTCAAATTAAATACTTAAAAAATATCAATGGATATTATTTACTAACGTCATTTTCTCATGCTAAAATCTAGAGAATCTTAAAATAAATAATGTTTCACTTAAGCACTTTTTATCTTTAAAACTGTGTAATGCTCATAATTCAACATGAAGAAAATACGTTTAACAGCAAGCAGATGCCGAAAAATGTTCGATGCAATATTAAGGATGTTTGAAACTGCAATGACATGTTTTCGGCTGCATGTGTACAACTAGACCTTGAATATATAGCTGTATTTTAGAGACAGTTCGTTTAGAACACATCTGTCGATTCTTGACGCTTTACAGCATTTGGCTGCGGGAGTTGTAATGAAAGACTATTTATCGGATGTTTTAGATATGCGTAATAAATTGAAATTGTATAGTCTTGAGAATAGGAGGTTGTGTCACGGACTTCTATATTTTCAAAAAATAAGCTATAGCACAAGTTTTCTCTTTTTACTCATGATAAGGTCTGCTAAAATGGATAGCTTTTCCATTTAGGGCATGATAAAAGAAGAAAGACGTTCACCATTTCTCTGCGAAAACTTCTTTGTCTGTCTTTCTTTATTCCCCTGACCTCTAAACAGTGAACTACTCTCACGTTATCAATCGCACACACAACCAATGTAAATGCAGTTAAACTGCTTCTCAAAAATCATGGGAATTACTTTTAATACTTTTTTTCCAACTCTTAGACTAACTTGGGGTAATTCCAGTTAGGGCTTGAAATTTTTTTGGTACTTTTGATACCATAAAGCTATCTCAGAATAGAAAAAACTGCTGTTGCACAGGCAGATAGACATGGGTCTCAGCTATCGATGGATGTAAAAATCCCCTCGAAATTCATTATGGTTAATTAGTTTGATGCGTTTTCCAGCGGCCTGTCAACTGTTGGTCGGAATTATCCCAATAGATTTAGTAATGTGATCAGATTTACTTCAAATGAGATTTTTCCAACAAATGAATGTTTCTTTTTTTTAATGGAACTTCGCATTAATTAATTATGGAAAGGTGATCTCAACTTGCCAAATATATGGCTGGAAAGTGGTCAAAATTCTCTACAAGATGAGCTAGTTTTTAATAAGAAAAGCGAACGTTCATTATTGAGCAAAAGTTGTTTTACTCTGCGCCTATTGTTTTGGTAGCGTTGACATGGCGCTAGAAAACTCACCAATCCAATTAACCTTAATGAATTTTGAGAGGATTTTTACATCTATTGATAGCTGAAACTCATGTCTATCTGCCTGTTTTTTGAAATAGCAGTTTTTTCTGTTCTGCTATCAAAAATACTAAACAAAATTCAAGCCCTATCGGAATTATCCCAAGTTACTTTGTATTGTTCGCTCACTACTGTATGCAAGTATCTCTTGCTCTTTTTCCGATTTGGGTGCGTAACTGAAATCTTTCTTGTCTTCCCTAATATACTCTCTTTCTAGGTAACAGTATCTATGTAAGTAATGACTTTTTTTTTCGGTTGTTACTGTTTTCTAACTCCAGTCAGAATAAATTCAATTCAACACAAATTTCACTCATCATCATTTATGAATCAAACTAACTTTTCACCTTTTGATAATAGCGAATATAATAGCGAGATTAGTCGCAGTTTTTATTATTAAATATTTTTCTGATAGTGAAGAATTAATCATAAATGACATAGAGACTGTCGTTTTATTCTTTAAACAAAAAGCTCATATCTGGTTTCAGACAAATCGTATCGATTTCCAATTGTACATACACATCAAAATAAAAAGAACAAAATTGTTGTCATTTTCATATGATTTTTGCCATTCAATTCTTTAATTGACTCTTATTGATAAGAGAGGGTTGAGGTTCTGAATTACTAACTGTCATCGATTGCAAAACCAGACATTTGAATAATTATTTGCTGAATAAAACTATAACTAATGATTAAGTATTTATAATCAACAGTAACGAAACCAACTTTACATAAGCTTCCATTTATAAACTGGAATGTAGTTTATTTTTAAATTTTTATCAAATAGTTTACCAACAACACATACAATAACAAACAAGCATAGAGCTAGAGAATTTGTCTAAATGCAAAAATACAAAAAAAATAGATGAAAACAATCTTTAAAGTACAAAAAGAGGATACATTTAGGGAATCAGAAAGACAATAATAAATAATCACTGTTACTTTATATTTGTTTCTAAAACAACAATCAAACTAAAGAGAGCGGTACGCATTATGTACAAAAAAAACAGCGATTAAAGGCTATTTGTAAAAATTGCAGAAAAAAACGATTCTTTGGATGAATAGGAAAAAAATATATAAGAATAAAAATCACCATTTGGACGGTACTTAAAGTTGTTGCTGTTGAATATTTAAGTTTATTGATTTGAGTTGGTTAAATAAATCAGTATAAGGTGAGTGAATATCTGTAAATAACTCTGCTGTGAATGATTGTTCAAATTGCTTCTGTTGTTCATTATTTGTTAGCTAAATACGAGCGAACAGAATAGAAAAGGATAAATAATATTATTTAGAAGAAAACTAATCTTACCTGCATATAATATTCTCGACCAGCAGCAAGAAATAATTTATTATCAATATCTTCAGATCGTCCATATCGTGCTACAGCTAGGGGAAAGCTGATTCTTTGTTAAAGATAAAACATTTAATCTAAAAATCATTTAAGGGTCCCATCCCGGTCAAAAAAATCGATTTTGAGATCAACACATTATTGGATAGCCTAAAGTATCTTATTTTCAACACACTAGTACAGAATCTTTTTTTGTGGTTTTTTTACAGGCCTTGAATTGAAAAAAAAGTTTTTTTCCCTACATATGGACAAAGGTTTTGTATCCGATAAGTATGTGCACACACATGTGCGACATTTCTTCTAGTATAAGCGAGTGATATTTCATCAAAAAACCCGCATTTTTATATAGCAACAATATTTTCCCATAGATTATCGACTATTCAGAATCTAGGAGAGATATGCATGAACATACACGAGATCTGTTTTGGCATTAGAAATATATATTTTCATTAGTTTTATGCTTGTTAAAAAAGGATTTTGTACATATAAATATGCTTGCATGTGCAAATAATGATGAACTTGTCCAAAACTTATAATAACATGAAAAGAATCTTCTAAATATCATTACTCATATATACCACCATATTTGAAAAAATGATATATTCCTTTTTTTTATCGGAAAAGCTGTAATCAAGCATAAAAATAATGAAAATGTATATATCTAATACTAAAACAGATCTGTTATCACGGAATGTTGGAATTACGAACAGCTCCAATTTGACCAGTATTTTGTCTGAAACCGCTTTAGATATCAACTGGAAATGTTTAGTATAATCCTTCTACTACAGAATCAATATTCCGTGTAAGTTTCATTAAAATCTGATGTACCGTGCCGAAAACAGATTTCGAACGGGAGACGGAGATCTTCAAAATTCAAGCACTTAGTCTATGAATGCTGACGTAATCGTCGGATACAAACAGCTTCTAACAGCTATCTAAGCGAACCTTGCAGAAAAAAATGTCACAATGAGAAGAATAGATTTGTGATATTTCTGATATGTAACTGACATGTTATTTTTCTTTAGTATAAATATCGCTTTTTTTCTCTTTGAAATATTTTTGTAAAGTATGTTTTATTAGTAGCTGCTTAGACTCTAATTTGATTGAACAAGAGAAAAGGATACAGACTATTGGCTACTTTTTCTTCACAAGCGCTTAACATTAAACACGTTAAAGCCCATAATGCCAGACGTATGGGTCGTCGTTGTGAAACACTTGATATCGATAATAATGTCCATTCATTTACTTTTGATAAATAATTTGCATTTATTAATGATCGAAATACGGTAAATATAACATAAGCCAATATTTGTGGATAAAGTTGTTGTGTTGCTGCATATTCTGCTATGATTTTGTTCATTAATTTATCTGATAACGATATATGACATAGAAGACTGGGTAATGTACTTAACAGTCTAGATGCCTCGTGTGGAAATGTATATTTTGTTCGCTCATATATATCACTCACCAATTCAATAACAATATCGTTTGATGATGTGTCTTCCATTTCTTGATCGTCAATCGATGCAGATAACAGAGATGATGAAGTTAACGATGGTTGCTCAATTGTTGTACTACTATTTAATAACATCATATCATTTTCATTTGTTGATGTCAATGTTATATAAATACATGCCAATAACAAAATTAATTGAGGCATTGCTGTTTCGATGCTGATGTTACGTACAGCTTTTAAACATTGTTTAAATAAAGGCCATAAATCTTTTCTTGGAACAATGTTAAGTAATAGAAGACGTTCAATACCAATGGCTACCATATTTAACAGTAAATAATCACCATCTTCACGCATTAAATCTTCAAAATGTTGTTGAAGAATTATGTTGAGAAGATTTAAACCCAAACCATGATCTGTAGAAGAAGAAAGATGAGTATTACTAACAAAGTCTAAGACAAAGTATATTATTCATACCATTATAGGTATTTTCAATACAATAAAAAACAAATGCTAAACATTGTCCACTTATTCTTATATCGATATTTGTTTGTAAATTATTTGTCACATCATTAGTTAATTCGGTGGTTATCATAGGTAATAAATATTTATATAAATCATCTTCATGTGTTTGTAATAAAATGAGAGCGGATGCATAAGCAGTTGATCTCGTGTAAAACGATTTGAAACACCGTTCAATCAAACGTATATAGAGTTCATTGGTATCTTTTAATGTTTGACCAAGTAGTGCACCCGATTTACATAAACCATAACAAACATACATCATCACTAATTCATCTTCATCAACCCAAATATTTGGTTTAATTAATTCATCACATAAATCAAATAAATTTGATAATTGTTGAACAGATGTAAATAAATCGGATAGTTGCACGAATGAACGTATTATTTCAAAACGTAATTGTAAACATGTATCCGATGATAATAATGATACATTATCAGTTCTCATCCAACGCATATAGATTTCTAATAGTATTTGTAGAGATGAATTTAAATCTAAACCATTACGTGAGAATAATCGATCAATACTATCCGATGATGTCTAAATTGAGAGGAAAAAAACAATTAGTTAAACAATTTTTTTCTTAAATAGATTTTCAACTTACAGATGGTGACGTTGGAGAAATAAGTAATTTTGTTATTGAATCTAATGAAAATTGTTCATAGGATAGATGATCATGCGATCCAATACGTTCAACATTTACAAATAGAGGACTTGAGGATAACCATTGTTCAATAGATTTGCAAGATGAATATTCATTGTTATATTTTACATCATCGGTTGCACATCGATTTAATATCATGCGACTTTGAAGATAAAATTCACCATTTGTTGTTGATAAAAATGGAATTTGTTTATTTCGAGAATGATGCTCAAATTGATGTTCTGAAGGATTTCCACTACTATTTTTTCTTATTGCATTCAATAAGAATGTTGTTACACCCCGTACCCAAATACTAAAAAGAAATAAAAGAAAAAAGAAATAGTGTTAAATAATAGACAAAAATTTATTACCAATGTGTAGCATTTTCTTCTAATTTTTCATCTTTATTAAATCCGATTTGTTCATTATTTGATAATACTTGTTGAGTAATATTATTTGTTTGATTAACAGATGCTAAAAATGTTACCCATGTTTCCTGAAATTGTGTACGATTTATCCATCCAACTAAATTTAATCGTTCAATATAATCTGTCATTATATCTGAATGTTGTAATAATTGAACAGGAAAAGTTGTTAAACAAAAATCAGTTGAAAATTGTAAACGTCCATTATCACTTTCTCCTGATGCTAAATGTTGCCAATAAACGGTGGGTATACGAAAAAATGAATTAAATACGGGTAGACGAAAAAGAATGATACATATAGATTTTGAATATTTACGAATAAATTTTGGTACTAAAAATGTGGATGAAGATAAAGGTAAAGATAATTGTCGATATAAATCATAGAGTTGATCAATATCATAAAAAGCTTGTAATAATAATTGTATTTGTGGACGTTGATCATGTTCAATTAATTCTGGTGAACATGCGTGTGATTGATCTGATGATCGTTTAGTAATGATTGCTAATCGAATATGTCGCTTTATATATTGAAATATGGTTAATATAGATTTTAATAATGTACAACAAGAGACAATTTGATCTGTGGCACTTAACAGTGTACTAATTATTGATGATGAATTTGTTAATGTTACAATTATACATTGAAAAAATATTTCTATCATATCCAAATGAAGTTTATTATCTAATAGATTAATGTAAATTGTTTCAGAGATAAATATAATAAATCTTAGTATATCTCGTCCATCTGCTACTGATAATTGATATAATTCATTATGTTCATTTACATATCCAAAATATACAATAAGAGATTCACATAATGGTAATAAAACGGTTTTTGTATGAATATTTTCTTCAGATAGAGATGATAAACTTTTCATATACAAGGAATCTTGCGTTGTTTCACTACGATCAGAACATATTAAACGTTGAGCAGGTAATGAAAAGCAAACATCATTAATTTTTTTAATCATGGCATTTATTGAACAACGCCATAATGATGATAGATTAAATGTAGGTATTGGTGTTGTAGGTGGTGAATCGGGTAATGATTGATTCGTATTTTTCAACGTTACAGATGATTCAAATCCTAAACGTAAACAGTACGGCATTGATGTCCAAATAAAATCCTAAACAATAAAAAAAAAAAGAAATCAACTTAACAAAATACATTTTATCGTTCATTTCATGATACATATGAGCTACAATCAATTCTTACCAATGACATCATGTATGGTAATAATTTTTTATAATTAATTGATGCTAATACAGTTGCATACATTTTTGCTGTTATATCATTTGGACATGTCATATTACGTAACATATTTAATACACTATCATCATTGATTGCATCGACAAGAGGACTTTTTTCGGATTCTGTTTCAAGGTTTATTTCATTATAATTAACTTGTTTTGCCATTCGTTGTACAAGTACCATTAATCTTTCATTTCTCTTATTTTTCTCTTTTATTGATAATAATTTTAATATAAGTGGTAAATGTTTTGGTAACAATTGTTTTTCTAAATCACGAATATCAATTGTTAACATCATTTCAATACGTTGACATATTATTGTTTCTGCTAAACGTATTATCGTCATATATGGTAATTGTAAAAAGTGTTCGATTAATAACAATAGTAGTATACCACTTTGATCTAAATGTATTGCTTCTAATGTACGCAATATTCTTAATGCAAATAGACCGGTACTTCCATTATGTGCTAAATATTTTTCCGTTATATAATTCCAATTGGCAAATATAGCTTCGATATACAAATTACTTGCTGCTGAATCACGATGTATTAAACTAATTAAATCTTGTACATGTGTTTCATTATTATTTCCAATATGTTCAAATAATATCACTAAATGTGAACGATTTGTTAAGATTGATGTTAAATGTTCAACACACAATTCATGACGACAAATTAAATCACAATAAATAATTAATTGTCCATAATTTGCTAATTGACACGTATGCGAATCACCGCCACCTATATCAAATATTTGTTTCCACCATGTTTCATTTGTATAATCAAGTAAATTCATTATTTGTGTCCATTGAATGAGAAATGGGACATAGTAGAAGGATAATTGTTTAAAATGGTCACTCAAAGCAGTTAAATAAGAAAAATTATCTAAACGCTGAATATCATTATCGTCTTGAACCAATAAATAGCGTAAATCGTTTGTTATCGATCGAAATTGTCGTGCTAAAATAGAGCAATAAAACATAAGTGGCATTATAACATCATCTCAGATAATAAGAAAACACATACCGTTCTCTAATATATTCAGTATTAAATAGAGATAATCCGATGTTAATGCACAAAGGGTATTATCAAGTATACAACGAGATTGACGAGCTAATTTCAATAAATACACCGTTACATCGTATAAAATACGAAGAAGTAGTCTAAAATAAGTACAATCGATGACAGGGTATTTGGTTGGTAAATGATATTTTATACTTACGCGCTAAAACTTTCATTTTGATCTAAATTGTCAGTTGGTGGACTTTCTTTCCATCGTTGTAATATTGCATCTTCATTTGCGTGCTGTATTAAACAACGTAAGAATACATTTACATTAATTAATGATAGACCAATTGTATCTTGTTTGAACGCCTATAATAGTGAAATAAAATGGATAACAGTTGTCAAAAACTTCTCAATTCAAACCTGTTTAGTTGTCACATGTTTAAATGAGCTACATAACGGATCAACAGGTCGTAATGCAGCCGATGAAACAACATCGAACAATTGCAAATATGCCGAATATAGTTCTAATGAAACTTTAATTGGCTAAACACAATGGAGGAAAACAAAATGAGTAATCAGTTCTTTTACTATAACTATTTTTCGTTCTTTTATTTTTACCTTATTGTATATGGCTGATTGCATACTTATTAGTAAAACGTCAACAATTTGTCTTGAAAGTTTTTTCCACTTTTCTGTTTCACTTTTAACACTATCGAGGATTAATGTTAGTAATTGTAAAGCCTTTTTATATCGAACAAGTTTCAACAATGTTTGAACAATGACTATTCGATGTGCTTCAAGTTCTTTATTATCATTTTTAAAACGTACAAGAAATAAATCAACCACCACCGGTTCTAATGCCGTCAGTGCTAAAATAGAATAGAATAAAAAATTCAATATCATTTTGATTATATTATAAAAGAAAGCAAGCTTCTTTGTTGTTCTATTCTGCCTCACACTACGCACTTGTCTTTTTATCGTACCATGTGTTTGTGGATCATTTCCACTTGCTAAAACACTATCCGTATGTTTATTTAAATCTTGAATTTTAATCACTTGTTTTGAATGTAATGAATCATGTGAAAGCATAACCAAAAATTCAAATATACACGCTATAAAATGTTCAGGTGCATCGGCACCTATACCAGCTTCTTCAATGACTTCTAATTGATTTAAAACATGCTTGAGAAAATGCTACAAAAGAAATAAAAAGATATGTTATATGTGAAAAAAAACCATTCTTACATTAAACATACTTCATCTGCATCTAGTAGACTGTAATTTACTCTTAATAATAATAATTGTACAAGTAAATCCAATACGGACGCTTGAAACTGTATTTCATTTGAATTTACATATTTCTTTAATCCTAATATGACAACTGTTTCAAATAATCGAATATAATTTCCAATTTTTTGTCTTTCAATACGATTTGGTGGCCGTTTTAAACATTCAATTTTTTTTCGTTTCTTTGACGTCAATAGTAATGGTGATAAAGAACTAAATTGATAGTACCTTTTTAGTTAAAAAAAAATTTCAATTAGTAAACAAAACTATTCTACCAGTGATCTTCTCCCATATCAGTATTGGATAATTTTCGTAATTGAAATAAGGCTAACATTGGTTGACGTAATGCAACTGTGTAAACATTTTGTGGCATAGTGGAAGATGTTAGTTGGGTATGTGGCGACACAACTGACTGTACCATTGTTGTCAATGATGGAATAGAGGTATTTGTTAATGCAAGTAATGTGTGTAAGAGCTAGACAAAGAAGAAAAATAATTGTACAAAATAAGACTAAAGAGACGAATAATTTATTTACCTCTTGTGTACACAAAATCGTATTTGTTTTATCAACAACAAATGTTGATTTTAAATACGTAAGAATTTCTTCTAAATGTTTTGATATGTCTTGTAAATGTACAAGATTTACTGTTGATTGTAAACACGTTAATGTTGTTGCTAGTAACTGTGTAAAACGATCAATTTCAGATGAATTTAACATACACTAATAAATAATGAAAAATAGAATACAAAACAAATAACTGAATATCATTTATCCTTCCTACTTTGTATGTCTGATACGATGCCCTAATAAGTTCATATAATTTTAATAATGATGGATTATTACCAAACTGACCGAGAAGTGTACGACTGGATTTTTTATCTGACGTATTATTCGTGCCATCTTTCAATGGTGATGTATCACTCGATTCTTTTTCAGTTTCTAGATCAATATATACATGATTGGTTTTTCGATTGTTTGCTTGATTAATTTACACTTACTTTGTTTATCATTGTTACTATCATCTTTGTTTGTTGCATTTTCAAAACGTTTTTTTATTTGTTGTGGTGAGGCTGGTATTTGCGGAAAATTAATTTTAGATGATGTTGGCATTGGTGGTGGTGTTTCATCAACAATACACGAATAAATCGATAATAAACGTATTATAAAATGAAATATTTTTTCGGCTGGATTATTTATCGTTAGTGATGAAGAAGAAAGATCATTGTTTGAAAAATAAAGTGCCAAATCTAAATATGATATATACCTAGTGAATATTAAATTTTCAACAATAACAACTTACTTTCAAATAGAACTTGTATAATTTCTAGTAATAATTGTAAACCATTCAGATCATGTAAAATAAATGGATGTTTTAAAAAATGAATAAGTAATCGTAATTCATCAAAATTATTGTGAAAAAATGACATAATCGTTGTTGGAGATAATACAGCGCTTAATGCATAAATGCCTTCCAGATAGCCAAGCTTGTAAAAAAATGAAAAACGATAGATTAATGCTATTTTCTTAATTTTATATGAAACTTACTAGTTGGATACGTGTTGATGCTTGACCCAGATATTTAAAAATGATTGTTGATAAACATGAAATATTTTCAGAACGTGCTTGAACTAATGGTGAGATTTTTGTTGATGATGATTCTAACTGTTGTTCGTGAGTATTATAAATCCATTGCACATTTGAATTTAACAATTTTAATAATGATTCTGTTGGCCACGTACAAGACATGAAAGAACTTTGATCGACTAATCTGAAAGTATTACGTTACTTAGATGTACTGAAAGTGAAGAAAATTATGTACACACTTAGCATAAGCCACAGCAGCAACATTTCGTAGACGAGGTTCATCATTTTGAAGAAAGAGTAATAAAATCTCAACACAACGATCTAACCATAAACGAGTCTAATGAAAAGAAAAATATGATGAAGAATGACATAAAAGAAATATATTTAATAAAATCTTACAGTTGTTTGTTGATATTGCTGCTCAACAAAATAAACAAGTCGAAAATCAATAACGCCGATTAATTGTGCAATAGCAATCTACAACAAAAACTATTTCAATTAAAGAGAAAATTGTATTTTTTTTGTACTATTAATTTACTTTGACTAGAACATATGAACTATTGATATGTTGTAAACAATCTTCTAACAGACAAAGAGCTATCATGGACATTGAACTATTACTAGAGATTAACACGGGAAGTAATGTTTTTAAATATTGCACACTAACATGAACAACGCGTGGCATTGTATCATTCAAACACAGACGATAAGAATTAAGTAATTCCTGCAGAATCAAGATCTGACAACCTTTGAAAAGAGAAAAATAGTTAACTAGAGTAAGTAGTCCATAAAAAAGACATCTTACTATCCGTAAATCGACTACTTTTCTGAGAATCAATGGAGATCATTGAACATTGAAATAAAAATGATGATGATAAAGAAGATGTTGAAGATAATTGTAAAGAACAGTTCCATAGACGAACACTTGTCTGTATTAGATTAGCTAGCATAGATGAAAAAGCTCCACGCAAATGTAAATCAACATGTTCACGTAAACATAAAAGATAGCTGACAACTAAAATAAACAAAAATAATTTTATTATTCAACTCTGATAAAAGTAGATTGATATACTTTCTGAACCATAAACAGTTGAGTCATAAAATCCTTGAATATCAATAGTTGCCAAATGTGACATACAAGCTAATGCAGCACATTTAATACTAACACGTACTTCGTCGTCACTCTTCAATGTTCCATCGGTATTAAGGAAAAATCTGATAAAGAAAAAAAAATGAATACAACATAAATGATAAAATTCGTCCATCACCAAAATAATCGATACAAACCTAGAAATCAATAGTTCGAGAAACCTCGTTGCAGAACTACGAAAAATTTGATCGACACTTGCAGACGATACTAGACTTAAATCCAATGATATTAACTGAGTGTGAGTGGCATCCACATTGTTATGTGGTACTGAATCTTCCATATTTGTTGTCTCGATAAATGGTCGTCGATACACATTATCTGCAAGAATAGAAAGGGAGAAAAACTGTTGAATATGTCGAAGATATTTTCGTCACAAACCTGTTGACGTTTTCCGAATATATTCGGTAACGTGATTTTCAGCCACAGGTCCAGTTGACATCAAAATATGATCAAATTCAAACAAAAAACTGTATCGTAAAATAGTTTCGAGTGCTTCCAAAGAGCCGGATACGATGTTATGATCACTATGACCAAATAAATAAAATAAAATATCAACACACTAAAAAGAAAACAAAAAATACGAAACATTATTTCATTTGAGACATATATCACAAATGCATACCTCAATTATATTATTTGTGTTTATTTGATCGCTAATTGCATCCTCTCTTTTCGATGTATTTGGATTGACTACAGTTGATGCAAGTAGTTCTTCCCGATATTGCCCAAGCATTTGTATTAAATTTTTCACTAGTGATAATGAACCAATAATGATCAAACGCGATTCAATATTCGTTTGTTGTAATAAATTTTCTAAAAACAATAGAAATAATTATTTATGCTTACGTAATATCGATAAATATCATATATCTTACCTATTGCAGATGTCAAGAGAAAACGCGCTGTGGATAATGGTTGCCGACAATGACGACAGATGACAACGAGGCAAGATGCCGATGAACGTCGAATAACAGCTGATTCATTTGATAAATTTTTCAGATAAGCCTGCAAAAGATCCTTCACTTCTTTGTCGTTCATTGATTTTCCAAGAGTACGAAATATCATTTGATAGTAATCGGGTAATTTTTCATACAAAAGTTCTTCTGTTCGTGATGCTATAGAACAGAATGAAATGTAAAGATGTTCAAGAAATGGTCTAAAATTAAACAATAAAACAAATAATTAGTCAATCAAAAAGCGCATCAACAGATAGCTTACCGTATCTTTTTTGGATGTATAATCGCCGCTAATTCACTAAAACGCCATAATGCTCCTTTTAAGGCACGTGGTCCCACATTTGGATTTCGTTTAATTATTCGATGTAATTCTACCTGCACACGAGCGAGTTGTACTTCCTTTAAACTCTAGAGTGAAGGACAAAAAAAAGAGTAGAAATAAAGAGTAAAAAAAGAGGACAGGCGGTGCCCCGCAAGTTCTTAAATGATTTCTAGAACAATGAGTTTACAAATCGTTCCAGAAAAACAAATTCCGTACTATACCAAACGATAGACAATTTAATTCTCTACAAGATTGTATATTCATTTTTAAGATTCATCTTAGATGTCTGGCACAGTAAGTCAAGCAGGGAAAGCTCCAAATTTTTTAACTGCACCACACAGTTTTAAAGTGCAAACTGCTCTCTTTTTTTAATTGCTTACAATGAGTACGAAAAGGTTCAAAATAATTTTATTACAGTCAAATGGTGAAGAATTTCATGGATTACAAAAGCGTTTACTTGAAGGAGATTTATTTTAATTGCTAGTAGCTTTAATACATAAACTCCAAGTCCACCGAAGTGTCTAGCACTAAAAAAAAGTTTTGACTATTCGAGTATAAAATCCAAAGTTCAAATCATTAGCTTATAGACCAAAAAATACAGAATTTTGCGCTCTATTAGACCGTATAACTTAAAAATAAATCTGCTACTTTTGTTTACTTGAAAAACTAGGGAATACTGGTTGTTGCTAAGATGGCCGAAAAATAGGAGAAAATGACCTTTCTTAAAGACTCTTTTTCACTCTGATTTCATCTAAAAAAATCATTATTTATCATTAAAAAACAACATCATATTGTAGAAAATTTCTTGCTGAATTTTTTGGTATACCTTGTTTTGTTGAATAAGTGATTTTTAGCGAGGTTTTGCGCAAAAAAAATCGATTTTTTCAAGATTGCAGTTAAGAAGTTTGGAGCTTTTCCTGTTAGAGTTACTGTGCCAAACATCTAAGATGAATCTTAAAAATGAGTATACAATCTTGTAAAGAATTATATTGTCTATCGTTTGGTATAGTAAGGAAGTTTTTTCTGCAATGATTTGTAAACTCATCGTTCTAGGAATTGTTTCAGAACTTGTGGGACACCCTTTATATACGAATTTCTCACTTTTACTAATTTTGTAGTATTTTCTTCTGCCGCTAATCGCACATCATAATCTTGTTCGTCACAATGTAAAAAAAGTGCTTCAAATCCAGCACTGAGTATTTTAAAGTAATTATCATTATTCGCTCTGGAAAATATATGAAGAATACAATAATTTTCAAAATTGAATTTAACTTCAGAAATATAAATTAAATTACCTAATTTGTGGCATAAGTAGTACATCAACAATTAGATTTAGATGGTGGATTTTCTCTTTGGCTAATGAAACAGCGTCAAATTTTGATCTAAATGACGAGAAAAAATAGAATAGTCAATTCAATCTATATTACATTGAAAATTTTAGCTTACTTTTCATTATTTGATTCTAAACTTAATGTTTTCAATAATTCGAGTGATTTACTTAGTTTATCCATTTGTTAGTAATAATGAAAGATGTTCGATCGCAGATAAGATATCATACAAAACTTCTATACATCTTTTAACAAAAAATAACAGTAAAAAGTAGGATAACAGTTTCTTAGAGATAACCATTACAATCAGTCAATGTAATTAGTTCAAAAGTAAACTCGTATTCTCTACTGGTGAGAGATTATCGAACAAATACTAGTTGGTAATCAATAGCGCGGTCTCTCACTAGCTACATACAGCCAGGAAATGCTCTTGATCGCAAAGATGGCAATAATCATGAAAAGAAAGAATATGGAAAACAGTTTTTATTAATTAACAGTAAAACAAAGAATTATTATGCTCTTTTTTTTCCTTTTGATTTCAATCTTTTCATTCCTTTTTTTTTCAATCGTTTTCGTCCTTTCATGGTTGTTTTAGATTTATTTTTATTTTTTCTTCCACCACCATCACCACCAATGAAGTCCATATCATCATCATCTTCGTCTTCATACAACAATCGTCCATCCTGAATATTATCTGTTATGGTATTCAAATTATTTCTATTCGATATTGAACGATTAAGCTGTTTAAGCTCTAATTTTGTTTGCGGTAAACGTTTCAAATAATCTTCTTCAAAATTCACTTTATCTTTGTACAAGCGATTATCTTTTAATAAACGACTTCGATCAGTATCAAAATATTCTTCAGGTGCATCAGAATATTTTTCTTTATAATCTTGTAAAACATTACTGTAGTAAGCACGTCGTTTTAAATATTCAAGACGTTTTAGAGTTTTTCCTTTTGTACTTATATCATCTTCAAATGCCAGTGGAACTAGTTTTGGCGGACGATAAAGTTTGGGTTCATCTTCATCCATTTTTTTTTCTTGTTCTCCATTTTTATCACCATTAATATGACTCGTTTCTTCGTCAAAATTATCGATATTTGCACGATGTTTTAAAAAATCTTGTTCACCAGACGACGAATCCATTTTTAACAATTTATCTATTTGATATTGTAATTTTTGTTCGATCGGACGTGTTTTTTCAATATAAGTGCGAATTTCACATAACCGCAATAAAATTGTTTTATTTTTATCATTTGTCAATGACTGACCAGCGGATTTTTTCAACATAATTGTACAGAGATTAGTCATATAATGTAATAGTAACTCATTTTTTACATTCAAAATGGATATTCCATTGTCATCATTTCTAAGTGATTGATGCTGCATTTTTTCAAATAACAGTAAACTTTTAGTAAAATCCCGAAGTTGTTCATTGAACTCTTCATATTTTTCAATTGTTTTATGGAGTATATTAGTTGATTCACTCATTATCTGAAATCTCATAAAGAAATTTACTAAGTAAAAACCAAACAAACAGATTCAAATTTTTACTCTCATGCGTATAACGCTGTACGTTCGCACGAGTCATTTCTAGTATAAAAATTCGCACTTTTTCAAAATGGATGATATCAGATATATCAATCTACATAACTTTAGTCGATTTTACAATTTCTTTAAATGGTAGATAACTACTCTATCAGTTATGTATTGAACGAACGAGTTAGCTATGAAATTCAGCTGTTAGACAGTATACTTAAAGATAAGTTGAAGACATTCCGAGCTTTAGTCTTCTAGTTTATTTTTCAGAGGTATGACAGGGTATTGAGACTACTACATAATGATCGAAATAAGTTAGACAAAAATAGTTAAATGATTGTGGAGTTTAGCGCCTAACTTATTTTTTCACTACTTTAGTGATGACTTTCTATATCGATATGTCATGTCAAACATCGGATTGGTCCATTAAGCACCATGAAAAGTTTCTCACAGAAAGAGATAAAGGGCAACGCCACTTTCCTCTCGTGTACCCGATGATGAGAAAACACACCAAAAAAGCGCAAGTGTAGGGCAGCTTGTCGTTCAAAGTCGTTTATATGACTTAACAGCTGTCGTTCAAAGTATAGTTCATGAAGAAATCAATCTTATTTGTACTTGGTGTGTGATAACCACATGAGGTTGAACATTGATAATCCAGGGCAACGAAAACTGGTATTTAATTGTCCATTAACAGCCTGCTAACTGTATGCCAAAAAATGGCTTGTTAATTGTGTAAAAATCGAATGAAAATTGTCATCTAACAGCCATTATAATGAAAATTTTTTGACTCTGAAATAACGGTGAAAATAATGCCAGATTATAGGCAATGTCTGAAAAATTGTCATTTTACGGACACCATTAAATGGCATTTTCGTCCATTTATTAGATCACGTTAACTAATGCCAGATAAATGTGGCCGTTAAATGTCCGTTTTTTCTCCATTTCAAAATGGCAAAAAACTGGTTATAAAATGCCATTTAACAGTCAGTCTATGGTCACCAAGTCATTTACCGTTTTATTCTGCCTTCATGAATAGTATAAATGACTCTGATTTTCCTAAAATAATTTAGAGTGTTTCTCTTCTTCAATTATATGAGTCATAGAAACTTGTCTCGAAGAAGTGGTCTGTGGTTCTTGACTCGATGCAGGTGATAGTACCTCAGGTGCAGAAGATATTTTTCTCACATTTTCTAACGATCTAACAATTGATATTTAAATGGCAAAAAAAGATGTGACCAGTAGGGTTGGTTACCGGCAGCAGTTAAATGCCTGTTATTTGACCGTTTTTTTGACATTTAAAAAAATGCGAAATCAATGCATTTACCCACTGAAAAAAAATTTGCGAATTCCTGCGTTGACATGCTGGAATCTGAAAAAATCCTGTGAATGTTGGATATATACTGCAAGTTTTTACATCACGTTACCTCGCCGAAAATTTTCCTGCAAGTTGATGAGTATAATTGAGCAGGATTCTTTAACACGCTCACTGT